AGCAAAAAAATAGAAACAACTCACTGTCTTTCTGAGGAAATTAATGAATAAACTCTAATATCAGACATAATTTAAATGTCTCCTGAATGTCTGAAAGTCTATATAATAAAACTATGATTTCTTCATAGAAGAATACCAGACAGCAGTTAGGTAAATGAATTAGTTTTACTTGTAACAACATGGAAATGAATGAAAGAGAATGCTAAATGAGAAAAAAAATCTGTAAAAGTATAATATGATATTTCTATGGACTGAATGTCCCTCTAAAATTCATATGGTGAAATGCAATCCCCAATGTGATGGTATCTGGACATGGAGCCTTTGGGAGATAATTAAGTCACCAGGGTGGAGTCCTAGTCCATGTCCTTATAAAAGAGACCCCAGGCCAGCTCCATGGTTCACACTTGTGGACCCAACACTTTGGGAGGCTGAGGCATGAGTATATCTTGAGCCCAAGATTCAAGGTTCCAGTGAGTTAAGATCATGCCACTGTACTACAGCCTAGACAACAGTGAGAGAACCTATCTCAAAATACAAATATACACACACGCGTGCGCGCACACACACGAAGGAAAGGAAGGAAGAAGGGAGGGAGGGAAGGAGGGAGGGAAAGAAGGAAGGAAGGAAGGAAGGAAGGAAGGAAGGAAGGAAGGAAGGAAGGAAGGAATCCCAAGAAGTTGCCAGGCTCCTTCTATCATGTGAGGGTTTAGAAAGAAGACTGTCATCTATAAATTAGGAAGTAGACGTTGAACCAGGCAGACATTGAATCTACCTGAACCTTAATCTTGGACTTCCCAGACTTTAAAACTGTAAGAAATAAATTTCTGTTGTTTATGTGTTATAGTCCTAATGGACTAACACAGACATAGAAAGATACACATATTATGTGTATGTGATATATAAGTTATAGATATCAAAAGCAATAAAAGTAAAAAACATTCAAGGGAATGCAAAACAATAACATCAGGATAGTAGTAACATAGAGGGAAGGAGAGAAAAGCATTGGAAGCTTTTGTCAAAATAAAAGAGCTCTAAAGCAAAGATAGAAAATGGTTAGCCTCTGTTTAATCTCAGAGGTAGTTACATTGGTGAGTGTTGTATTATCTTCTGTACTTGTTGCATATGTTTATAACTTTTCATAAGTCAAATTTTTTTAACTTTTAAACTTTTTTTTAAAGATGTGGAATACAATTCAGGGTTAGATATACAAATATTCATTATGTAGGTACACTTATTGATGAGATGTGCCCCCTCCCTCCCTTGGCAGTTTCCCCATAAATTAAATTTTGATGAAATTTTTAGGAAAACAATTGGGGTTAAATATATAATTTTTAAACCCCTGGGGGTTCTATCTTAAATCCATGAAATCCTTTTAATTTTAATGGTTTATGAAACTCTTTCTTACTCTTTTTACAAGTTCCTCCATCTCCTTAAATAGAGGATCCTACAAATAATTTAAACTTTTCCTAAATGCCTGAAAGTCTATACAATTTGAACCAAGGAATGGACCGTAAAAGTTAACTAAGTCTAATGACGCTTTTGATGTGTTAATTCCTGTTACAACATGATGCGTAGATGGCAATCCAGACTCAAACTGGGTATGTCTAGAGATGGAGCACTTTCCATTTTCAGCAGGGGAACACCGTGAGAAAGTTAGTCTGATTTCAAGATAAAATGTTTCTCCTCTGTCTGCTTTTACTTCTGCCTTTGTAGACCATACAGTACATGTTTAATTTCTCATGAAATCTCATCAAATATTTGAGAATATCATGTCACTCCTAAATCTTTTTTTTTTTTCCAGGTCAAATAACTATATCTACTATCCTTGAATGACACTTTTCATATCCTTGACCTATTTTTCTCTGAATCACTCATTTCTTATTGTTTTATAGCAGTTCTTTATATAATACAGATACTAACCCTTTGTCATATATACTGATATTTCTTCCCAGATGATCATTTATTTTTTAACTTTGTTTATGGTGTTTTTTGTCATACAGAAATTAATAATCATTTTTTTATGTAGCCTAATCTGCCAATTTTTTTCCTTTGTGGTTTCTGGTTTTGGGATCTTGCTTACAAAGATATTAATATAGTCACACATTGTGCTCTTTCATTTATATTTTTTATTTTGCTTTTCATGTTACATTTTTAAAACTAGCTTCTTTTACTCAACATGCTTTTGAGGTTCCACCCATGGTATCATATGTATCAACAGTAATTTTTTTATCATAGTTTATATTCCATTGCATAAGTATACCACAAATTGTTTATTTATTTTCCACTTGGATTGTTTCCAGTGTTTAGTTATTATGATTAAGACCATCATAAACACTCCTGTATAAGTCTTTTTAGTGGACATGTATTTTCATTTTTCTTGGATGTATATGTAGGAGTGGAACTGCTAAGCCACAGGGTAGCTAGCTATATACTTAATTTCATAAGAACAGCTTTCTAAAAAAGTTCTACCAAGTTATATTCCCACCAGCAATGTATGAGAGCTTCAGTTCTTCACAATCTTACTAACACTTGAGAATGCAAGTCTTTTTTTTTTTTGGAGTTGGAGTTGGAGTCTCAGTCACCCATGCTGGAGTGCAGTGGCACGCTCACAGCCACCACAGCCTGTCTGCTAGGCTTAGGCAATCTTCTGCCTCAGCCTTCCAAGTAGCTGGAACTACAGATGCACACCACCACACTCGGCTAGTTTTTTTGTGATTTGTTGTAGAGACAAGGTCTCACCAAGTAGCCCAAGTTCAGGCAATCCTCTTGCCTTGGCCTCCCACTGAGCCACCATGCCCAGCCAAGTTTTTTTTTAATTTTAGCCATTTTAGTGGTTGGGTTTTGTTTGTTTGTTTGTTTGAGAGTCAATTCAATCTTAGTGTTTTCACTGTCTAAAGATGGGGTCACTGTGGTTTTATTTTATATTATCCTGATCACTAATGATGTTGAATACTGGCCTGGGCATAATTTACAGGTTTCACACGCTTCTTTGGAAGTGTAAATCCAAAGATAATGCCTATCCAAATTTTTGGCCCATTTTTAAAAAATTGAGCAGCATGTCTTTTTATTGTTTACTTATTATAAGTCTTCATATAATCCAGATACAAGTTTTTTGTCAGATAAAAAACTGTCCTGCAAATAATTCCTCCTAATTCATGCTTTGTCTTTTCATTTTTAAAAAATATTTATTTTTTATTTTGAAAATGTGGGGTACAATTCAGGACTAGGTATACAAGTGGTCATATACAGGCAAAGTTTGGGCCTCCCTTTGTTTCCCACTTCGCCTGGTTTGAGATCAGGTACACTTACTGATGTTATATCCCCCTCACCTCTCCTGGCACTGTCCCGCTACTGCCAATTCCTTTCTTATAGTATTAGGGTAAATGTTCCAGGTTTGTTTATGAGTGATGCCTTTTCGTTTTCTCAGTGGTATCTTCCTTTTATATATAAGATAGTGGTACCTTTTAATAAGCAGGTGCTTTTAATTTTCTGATCTCTAATTTGTCAATATTTTCTTTTATAATACCTTTTGCATCACATCTAAGGACTCTGCCTACACTGAGATTGTGAAAAATATTCTCCTATGTTTTCATTAAGAAGTTTCTTGGTTTTAGTTTTCATATTTGTATCTATGATCCATCTTGTATTAACTTTTGTGTATGACAAAAGGCTAAGGTCAAATATATGTTTGGTTAGGGTTTTTTTAAAAAAAAAACAGGGTCCCACTCTGTCACTCAGGCTGGAGAGCAGCGGTGCAATCATAGCTCACTGTAACCTTGAATTCCTGGGCTCAAAAGATTCCCCAATTCAGCCTCTCAAGCAGCTGGGACTACAGGCATATGCCACGATGCCCAGTTCAGTATATTTTAATATAATATAATTTTTTTAAAGATTTCTCCTATTTCCTACATTGATTCTGCTTAACTAGAGACTATTTGCTGAAATTGCCAAATTTGGTTTCCTTATTTTGGGTTGCTAACTCTACTTACGTCACGTTAATTTCTTTTGCTTGCTTATATTTATAAAAGATCTATATTGATCGATATAATTGGAGAGGGTCTCCTAGGCCATTGTGAAGGACAGAGTTTGATTCTATCAATGACTTACAACTCTCCGCCCCAGTAGCATAGAGGGCTACAGGAATTATCTTATGAGCAACCACATCAATTACCTAGTGACAACTGGAAGCAGATTCTGTGGCAGCACTCTAGAACCTGATGGGAGTTTCCAAAGTACTCCAGTTTTCACTACTTCAATTGCATCTCCCTCCTCCTGGCATAGTTCTAACAGAGGTAAAATGTTTTCCTCTACCTCCTGCTTGATCAAGATTTTTCTCCCCTTGATCCTCATGTAACAATATTTTCTTCTCTAGTTCCATGGTCCTGTTCTTATGAACTACAGATCTGTGAGGTTGTTCCTAGAGTCCTCTTCAGTTCAGGGCAATTACATGATATCTGATTTTATTTCCCACAGTATTTATAGTATGAAGTGGAGTCTGTCATAATTTTGACATATGTTCCATTCCTACCAGAGAAAATTTGACCAGAGAACTGAGACTTGCCACTGTGATACTGATATGAGAGCCAAGGCTGAACTTCTCTGATAGCAAAGACAACTCCTTGATCAACCAACAGGTATTTATTTCATGTCTAGCACTGTGGACCTTCACTCTGTCCTTTCCCTCTCTTTCTCTCTCTCTTATGGAGAATATAAACAATTTAAAACACACTGGGATAAATAATAGTCATTTCTGACTCTTTATTATTGCATCTTCAATCCATATTATTATGGCTTCCTCCTTGAAAAGAGATATATCTTTAAATTGATTTTAGGTGGTCCACAGAGAACAACGATTTTGCTCTAGAGCCACAAATAGGCTGAGTTTCAAAACAGAATATGGAAGAAAGTCAAAAAAGACTCCTCTTCCCTTTACTTTCAGGAGCAAAGTACAATGGTTAAGATACACACGAGAACTGCCACTCAAGATGCAATTATGTGAGTCAATTCACCTGTTCAATCTGTTTGTACCATATCATCAGTACTTCCTCTAGCTGGTAAACAGTTTCTGAACTGCTGGCTGCAGCAGTGACTTCTTCAAAGGTGTGTAGTTTGGAAAAATCAATATTGTCTATTGTCTTTAACTTCACTGTCCCCTCAATACTTATTCTAGCACCTAAAAAAGCAATTTTAAGAAAAGTTGTTTAATGTCAATGTATCAAATGTCAACATGCACTTTCAAGCTGTAAATACTGAAATGTTAAAGATCTAATATTTTATAGAATACAATTCTAATTGATTATTAGATTGCGACTTGATAAATTGTATATTTTAACAATATTCAAAAATAAAAGTATCTATTTTAAAGAGCTCAGAATAAGGTATTTTTAATATTGTGAAATTTTTCATTAATATTACAGGAAGAGATTCCTCTTGCTATAACAGAAAATAATAAAGAAAACATGTCTTACTTCTACAAAGATCCCTGGAAAAGAAGAGTTTTAATGATTTCATATCTTACCTCTAGGTCTCATAATTACTTGATTAACATCTTTTAAGACAGAAACTTTTTCTGTAGTGTTTCTTTTTAATAACATATCTTACAGCTAATTTGCTCAATTTAGGAATTTACTAAACACTAAACTTTATACTTACCATCTAAAAATGAAAGGTATCTGTTGATAGTTTCAGTGAAAATGTGTTTTTCAGATTCTCCCTGTTTTGACTGGTTTAAAGCACCCCAATTGTTTGTTGCAAGAATAGCTGGTAGAAATACATTTGACAACATGTCCCTAATCCCATTTAAAAGTCCTTTTGATGCATCCAGAACAGTAAACAGCACTTCCTGAAAGAGTGGTGTTTAAATGTTATTTCATATGCTAACCCCCTTTAAGCAAGTGAACATCATAACCTATTTTACAATTCAACAAACATAGACAATAAGTTTGTAAACTATTAGGAAAACTTAAGGAGTTTTGAATATTAGCATTCTAAAGTCAGCAAGCTTATATTCTACTCCCATTTCCACCATTCACATATTTACTCATCAAAGAGATGCCTTCCTCAGAGTTTTAATTTCTGCATGGAGAAGGAGCCATAGCCTGAAGTTTATACAAAGTGAGGGAGATGGATCTGAAACTCCTGCATAAAGAAAGTCCTCATTATCAAAATAAAAAATATTGATATATTAAAAAAAAAAGAAAGTCCTCAGTTGAGGGTTGTCCCCCCAAAAAACACAACTAAATAAATAAACAAACAAATAAATAAATAAGAAAGTTGCCCTGTCCATGAAATGAGAACCAGAAAAGCCCTTGGCCAGAATTTTGGTGGAAGAAATTATCAGCCACAAGAAATCAAGAGCCCAGAAATCAAGAGTCTGCCATCCATGAATGTGACATCTCAATTAATATATTCTAAGTGATTAGGAAATCTCAAGCCAAGAAATTAAGATTTAAAAATCTTGTCTGGGGTCACTTAAAATTGGTTGTTTGTTTTTTAACTGTGAGTGTATGGCAATAAAGAATACAATGACTGCTACTATGGTTTGGTGTCATTGTCTTGATTTGTGCTAACGTGTCAGCAGTTTTTCCCACCATTGCTTCTGTACCATCAGTTAAATACGGTGAAAAGAGCAAACAGCATTTTAGTATTATGGTAAAAATGAATTTGACCTTATGGATCCCCTGAAAGGGTCTTGGGTACCACTTTGAGAACCACTGGTATAGTATCCGTCTCAGCTATGGTTACATTTACATAGTTATAAGGATATAAACAAATACTTAGTCAAACAAAATAGAATATAACTATGTTGGAAGAATGGAAGGATGGAAAAACAAGGAAGAAGGCCAGAAGGGTAAAAAAAAGGAGCTAACTCCTCATCTTCCATAAAAAAAATTCCATGGGTATTATCTAAACTGACAAAAGGAGCAATCAGAGCAAATTACTTAGACATATAGAGATAAATGAAAGAGTCCACTAAAAAAGTTTAATAGCTGCTTCTGGAGAGTGGGATAGAAGTCAGTTTTTCATAACAAGGCTTATAGAGCCTTTTCTTTCTTTAAACTATTTGCATGTACAATAACTGATAAATCGAAAAATTTATAAAAATGAATAGATTAAATCATGGACAGGTTGAAAAAAGAATTAGTGAAATGAAGATAGACTGAGAAAACATTCACAATAGCGAGATCATGGTGAAGCTAGAAGACTTTGAAGACAAAGAGCAAAAGCAAACAGAAAGAAAAAACTCAGATTGCCTGTGAATTACACTAACAGGAGAGGTCTCATTAGCCACAAGAGATGCAATGAAAAATTTACGAGGAATCAGGGGGAAATAACTGCCAACCTAGAATCCTAAATCAAGCTAAACAACTTCCCTTCAAACAATCTCTTGTCATAAACAGAAAAGGAGTAAAATTAGTCAATTTCATTTTCTTTTCCCATTGTAAAAGGTATCAAGACCGTCTAAGAATTATAAAGAGAACTAATATTTGTTGAGAGCCTACTGTATATTAAGCAACACAATAAGAATTAACTTATATTATCATTTAGTGTCACTACAATCCTGCCAAGTGGGAATTATAATTCCCAATTTAAGAATGTAGAGATCTAGCCGGGCTCGGTGGCTCAGCCTGTAATCCCGCACCTTTGGGAGGCTGAGGTGAGTGGATTGCCTGAACCCGCGGGTTCGAGACCCGCCTGGGTAGGCGAGACCTCATCTCTACAATAAATGAAAAAATTAGCCGGGCGTGGTAGCGCACGCCTATAGTTCCAGGTACTTGGAAGGCTGAGGCGGAAGGATTGCCGGAGCCCAGGAGGTCGAGGCTGCGGTGGCCGGGAGCGGCCACTGCACTCCAGTCTGGGCAACAGAGTAAGACTCCAACTCAAAAAAAAAAAAAAGAATGTAGAGATCTAAGTCTTAGAAAGGATGAGTAACTTCCCAGAGGGCACACTGTTAGTCAGTGGTGGCAAAGGTAAGAGGAAAATTCAGGTCCATCTGGCTAAAATTCTTGCTTTTCCCATTCCACTCTCCTGCCTTCCCAGGACTAGATTAGTAATGCCCAGACTCTAGGTTCATTCTCCCTTTTTCTTTTAAAATTATTAAAGAGTTAAAATATTAAGTGAACAGGAGGTTAAATAAAGTAACTAGTATTTGTAATTGTATAAACAAAATTAAATGTGTTCCTAGTGAATGGAAGGATATAAATTATTTGCATGCCATCTAGAAAAAATGAAATTTTCATGAATTTTAAAAGCAGTGTCTGAAATATACATATAACTAAGCTCTATTATAGTCAATTTCTCAGTTTCTTTGAATATATGAATACATTATTTTCTTGGAACTCAGTACAGTCCTGTATTTAAAAAGGGAAAGCAAAGTAATGCAAAAGTGTGACTATAAAAATACATTCAATGTTTAACTATATATTTGAGGAAAATTTTTAAACATACCTCATGAACACTTTTAACATTTATAGCAATATCATCACGACAACGAACAAAAAGTAAACATAGTCCTTTTAGTTTCTCCGGGGCTGCACTGTCTACATACAATCTCATCATTTTTGCCCCTTTGATTACTCCATGAATAGTTCGACCGCATTCTGAAAACAAAAGTCAAGAACTTAGCACATGATTACATAACTGATCAAACATGATAAATTACTGTGACTCTTACACTATTGTTTGCTGTCTTACTTAATTGTAATAAGTTTTCAATATGATCATAGAATACATTTTTTTTTTTTGTCTACAAGAAGATGTCAATTATTGCAGTTCTTAAATTGAGGTCTCTTATGTGTGTCTTTCCCTGAGCTCTTCACTTTTGTTCTTTCTGGGCTGACTTCAGGGCATTCACACAACCTGTTCTCCTATCCCATTTCCAATCTGCCTACCAAATTCCTACTCATATTTCAGATCTCAACTGAAAAGCTACCATTGCCAGAAGCCTTCACTGAGTCCCTCCAAGAAGAATACCTGTACTAAATACACTCATTGCACCCAACTTATATTAAATCCTTCCTTCAATGAAAATTAAATATGCAATTATAAATCTTTCTTTAATTTTTAAAAAACTATTAAAAACATGAGAATTATGTTAGGTGGCTGATTGCAATATTAATTTGCAAAACTCAACAGCCTTCTTATTTACAATAATAACCAATTTAAAATGTGATAAAATAAATACAAAATTCCTATCACAAAACCATAAAAATGTTTTATCTATCTTGCCTTCCATTTTGGGGGTTTGGGAGTTTCCTCCTGCCCTGTTATTCTAGCAGACTAAAGTCCCAGGGCCCCACAGAACTGGGCATATAAAAACTAGACTAATAGACTCTGCAAGAATGAAAACCTTAAATGGATACTCACAAAAAAAAAAAAAAAAAAAAGAATTTGAAAAATGTCAGTCTAGTGATGAATCCTAAAGAAACTACCTTGAAATCCACAGAAATGCTGTTTATCCCTGTGCTTCCCAAGACTTGATTGCTCAACTAATTCTAAATTTTGTGAACTACCCCCCCCCTAGAAAAACTGTGCTCTGCTTATATAAGCCAGAATCCCTTTTTTTTGCTTGCAGCCAAAGAACTCTGATACATGGTTCCTTAAAAGCCCAAATGCCCATTTATAGAGGTTGCACAGGGATTTACTACACTTAACATCCTCCCCTTTTTCCTTGCTAAGAGAACCTGACATTGTCCCATTTGGCAATGTGTATATCCCCAGGAAGAAAACAACTTTCCCAGCCTCCCTGGCTACTAGAGTAGCCATGTGACACAGTTCTGCCTGATAAAACAAAAGATAAGCTTTTTTTTTTTTTTTTTTGAGTTGGAGTCTCACTCTGTCACCCAGACTGGAGTGCAGTGGCCGCTCCTGGCCACCGCAGCCTTGACATGCTGGGCTCCGGCGATCCTTCCGCCTCAGCCTTCCAAGTAGCTGGAACTACAGGCATGAGCCACCACACCCGGCTAATTTTCTGATTTATTGTAGAGATGAGGTCTCGCCAAGTTGCCCAGGCGGGTCTCGAACCCACGGGCTCAGGCAATCCACTCACCTCAGCCTCCCAAAGCGCGGGATTACAGGCTGAGCCACCGAGCCTGGCTAAGACAAGCTTTAATTTTCTGGTAAAGAGGAGAGATGTGACCATCAACAGAAGAATGATTTCTGAAAACTCACAATGTAGTTGTACAATGGAATACTATACTATACAGATTTTTAATTAGGTAAATCTATTATGTAATGACATAGAAAAATGTCTAGGCTATACTGTCGAGTACAAAAACCAAGTCAAGAATACAATGTATTATATAATCATATTTTTAAATGATAATAAGCATTTATATGTTAACACAAGCATATGAGAAAAACACATAACAGAATCTTTACCAAACTGATAAATGTATTACTTTTCTAAGTAGCAAAAATAATGATTAAAAACATGTCTACCCTTTGTTCTGGCAATTCCCCTTCTGAGAGTTCTCTCCAAAATGTATTCCTAATCCTCATAGATTTGTCATCAGTGATTTTCAGTGAGGCATTATTTCCAGGAGCAAAAAACTGTAAACAACCCAAATTCTACTAGGAAATCAGTTTAGGAAATTATAGTTACAGACCAGGCTCGGTGGCTTAGGCTGTAATCCCAACACTTTGGGAGGCCGAGGTGAGTGGACTGCCTGAGCCCACAGGTTCGAGACCAGCCTGGGCAACTTGGCGAGACCTCATCTCTACAATAAATCAAAAATTAGCCGGGGTGGTAGCACATATCTGTAGTTCCGGCTACTTGGAAGGCTGAGGCGGAAGGATCACATGAGCCCAGCAGGTTGACGCTGGGGTGGCCGTGAGTGTGCCACTGCACTCCAGCCTGGGCGATGGAGAGAGACTCCAACTCCAAAAAAAAAAAGAAAATGATAGTTACATCAGGCTAATGAAATAAAATGTAGTTGTTAAAATTTTAAGTGGAGAAAAATATTTATTAACCTAAAGAAAATAATATTATCAAATTTAAACAGCCACTATACAATAATATGTAGAATTGGATCCCATTTTTGTAAAATACGTAAATAAACCAAAGTAGTTATATAGGGATATCCAAGAAGTTAACAGTGCTTTCTCCAGCTGAGTGGGGCTGTAGATGATTTGCATTTTTCTTCAAATTATAGCTATTTTCTTATTTTAGTACAGTTTTCAGTTATTGTTTTAATTTTTAACAAGTTATAAAAATATGAACCACACAATAATTCCCCCATGATAAGAACTGTGAGAGACAGAAAATCCGCAAAATAGACCTAGTCAACTAATATTGAGTTTACATATTTTGTTGAAGAAACAAGACTTGATATGTCTGAGCATTAAACAATTAGAGGAAAGTAGATGAACACAATTAAGTGCTGTATTTACAATGCAAACTTTAAATGAGAAAGGAATCTGGAGAATAGTAATAGATGCGGGTTGAAACACTCTGGGATGGTCCCAGAAAGAAAACGCATGAGGTGATCTGAAGAAGGAGAAGGGTTTGCTGGGTGAAAAGGAGAAAGGCAACCTGAGAGAATCGGGAGACTGGAAAGAAGGACATAGAAATTACTTCTGGTATGTCCAGAAAACAATGAAGAGAGTGGCTTCAAGGAACAGCAAAGTCACCGCTGGAAGAATAGGAGATCAGATTAGACAAGTACTGTCTCCAAATTACAGTGGGCCTTGGATAAATGAGGGCTTTGTCCCCAACCCAATAAATAGCAGGACAATAAAAGATTTACTTGGCAGGAATACATAAGCAGTATGAATTTCAGGGCGAGAATCTGGTTACAGAGATACTAGTTTTCAATCCAGAATACTAGGGCAGGCATGAGAAACGGGCCTAGCACAAGGCAGCAGAAAAGGAAAGTGAGAAGGAACCAATAGGAGGTGACATGATGAAGGTCAATCCACAGGATTAGGAAGATGGATAGTCTAAGACCAAGAAGATGACACATGTACTTAGTTATTAAGACAAAGGTAGCAAGCTGGAAGCATGTGAATTATCGTATGCACAGTAGGAAAGCTGGATATTCCAACTGATGGCTGCAGCAGGCATACAAGAAGCTGAGCTAAGACCACAGTGGGTAGCTGCTGGCCTCTGAAGTGGTTTCATGAGCATTTCTAATCATCTGGACAAAATGGCTCCACCCATTTCAGGGAAAACACATCTAAATTCTAATGAAAAATGTGTATTCTCCAGTAGAGGTCAATAATTTCTATTACTATGTTGTCTCCTTAAATCATCACAGTAATGCCAGAAAACATATATTTGGACTGAAATGTACTGTCCTTAAGATATCACATTTTTTACACGTAAGCTTCTGGTAAATTCTTCTTTATAAATAATAAGTATCCATGTATAAGAGAAAAAAATATGTTGCACTTTAATATTCATGAAGTAATTGCTAGCACATTGCCCTCATAAAACATTCTTACCAACACCAGGGACATCTCCTTCCTGATAAAAAATTTTCAATGTCTTACAACCATCTTTTCCAAAAAAATTAGCAAATGCATCCAGCTGTTAAATAAAAGAAAATCATGATCAATAAAATGACTAGGGAATAATCCTCAGCATTCTGTAGATGAAGAAAATGAGACAGTTTATTCAAGGTACATCAGAGGCAAGGTTAGAACTCAAATGAATTTAACTTCCAAATTACTGGGAATATAGGGTGAGTTCTGTTCCTGTATCTACATTAATGGTCCACATATACAGTTCTGGGCAACCACTTACCAGACCCTGCCTCAAAGAATATTTTTGTTTGTTTGTTTTTCTGAGTCGGAGTCTCACTCAGAAAGTCTCATGCCCAGGCTGGAGTGCAGTGGCATCCTCAAGGTCACCCCAGCATTGATCTCCTGGACTTAGCCTATCCTTCTGCCTCAGCCTTCCAAGTAGCTGGAACTACAGGCATGCACAACCACACCCGGCTAATTTTTTTATTTATTATAGAGATGAGGTCTCGCCAAGTTACCCAGGCTGTTCTTGAACCTGAGGGCTCAGGCACTTCCCTCACCTCGGCCTCCCAAAGTGCTGGGATTACAGGCTGAGCCACTGAGCCCAGCCTGTCTCACAGAATCTTATAGGGGTAAATAGGTAGTCCAACTAGAAGTAAAAATAAAAGAATTATTATTGAAAGAAACTCTACTTAAAACTGACTTGGAGAACACAAAACCTGTCTTATTGCATAAATTTTTTTTGATCAGTTATTTAAGCAATTATGTTTGCAGCAATTGAAATTTGACCCATACTGTAGCCAAACTAGTAAAAACAAATTACTATAATGAGATTCTTCCATATTTATGAGCATGAAGTTTTTATTCAATTACTTAGGAGTCAGTGAAATGTCTTAGTAAGTAGAAAACTAAACAGATGATGTAAACAAAAGCCCTGAAACATTACATGGGAAATACAAAGTGACTATACTCTCCCCCTTCACTTAGTCCCATTGATTCCATACTGAAGTCTCTCTCTTGGGTAGTGAGTTTTTCTTGACTTACTGATTGCTTGGGGGAAGTATCCTAGGTGTAGCAATGCCACTTCCTTTAGGACAATGGCTTGCAAATGTTAGTGTGCATCAGAGAATCATATAGAGGGCTTTTTAAAAACACAAAATGATATGCATTTTTAACAAACTCTGGGTGATACTGATGCTGCTGCTTCTGGGACCAGATTTGAGAACCACCTCCCTAGGAGATAAAACAGAGTCACAGAGATGTGCATAGCTCTAGTCCTTATTTTTTTACTCTTCCACTTCCCATATAAACTTGACTCTCTCACAAAATTACAACCTAAAAGAGACAAAAGCTGTGAGCACATCTCTTGTGCAAAACCTGACTCTCTCACATATTTACAACCAAAAGAGACAAGAGCTGTGAGCACATCTCTTGTGCAATTCTGTCAATATTTTCTTGCTGACCCTTTAGCTTTGGAAGCATACAAATTTTCAAAAGTATTGCACATAACTGTGATTTTTTTTTAAAAAGATACCAAAATATCAAATACAACAAATTCTTGCTTTGTAGATACACTGTACTCCTGAGACTAGCAAAGTGAATGGTTGTGGGCCAAAATCATGACTGTGAATTAAAAATTAATTTATATTACATAGCATTTTACCAACAGTTAATCTGAGCTTCACCTAGGAAAGATGGCATTTCTATACTCTTCTTGCAGAAGAGAAAAACTAAAGCTAAAAAAACTTTTCAGTGAAAGATTCAGAGACACACAAGCATAATAAAGAGCCTGGCACTAGACTCTAGCCTTGGTACTCCAGATCTGTGCTCTTTCCACAGAACCAAAACCACTGCTGTCTTGACTTTGGGAGACATTGTCAAGTAACCTAGGAAAGAGATTATCTCGAGTAGTGCTAATAAAGGAAAAAAAAGGGGTGAAAGTGTGAAGGCCAATGTTATAGAAACCTCTGTATTGGTCAGGGTCCTAGCAAGAAAAGGAGTCATAAACAAAGGGGCTTTTGAAGAAACTTCATAAATAAAAAGGTTACTTCTAGAAGCCAGAGCAGGGTTAAATAAGGAAGCTATGGCACTAGTAGCAACAACAACAACAAAATAGCAACAAAGGGAAATCATATCACCCCAAGGCCTAAAAGGGTGGAGGTTGGGGAAAATGGCGTAACAGGAACCAGGGAGATTAGGAGGAACGCTGTAACTGGAACAAGGGAGTTGAGGGAGATGGTGTAACTGGAAAAAGGGGGCAAGGGGGAATGGAATAACTGGAACCAGGGAAAGGGGGAGAATGGTGTTACTGGAACCAGGGGTTGGGCAGAATAGTGTAACTGGAACCAGGGTGATGGGAAAATAGTGTAACTGGAACTAGGGGGACTATGGGGAATGGTGTAACTGACACCAGGGGTTGAGGGGAATGCTGTTATTGGAACCAGAGTGATTGGAGAAATGGTGTAACTAGGGGGATTATGGGGAATGGTGTAACTGAAACCAGGGGTTTGGAGGAAATGCTGTAACTGGAACCAGAGTGATTGGGGAAATGCTGTAACTGGAACCAGGGAAATTGGGGGGAATGGTATAACTTGAACCAGGGAGATTGAGAAAAATGGTGTAGCTTGAACCAGAGGGATTGGGGAAATGATATAACAAACCAGGAGGATGGAGGAGTGGTGTAACCGGAACGAGGAGGATGGGGGAAATGGTGTAACCAGAGTCAGGGGGATTATGGGGAACTGGAACCAGCATGATTGGAGGAATGGTGTAACTGGAACCAGGAAATTGGAGGAACAGTGTACCTGGAACCAGGGGAATCAAGGGGCATGGTGTAACTGGAACAGAGGAGTTAGGAGAAATGGTGTAACTGTATTGGGGGAATGGTGTAACTGGAACCAGAGGGAAGCGGGAATGATGTAACTGGATCCGGGTTGAGAACTAGAGATGTGAGGAGGGGCTGCTCAGAAGAAGCTGTAGTTATGGGACCACACACCTAGCCAGAAACATGGCCAAGAGAGGAGTTTTTCTTCCCTTCTTCCCCCAGTCTCCTCCTGGTACCTTCCAGTGGCTGAACCAAGTGCAAGCCAGAGAGCAAGGGTGCCCAGGTGGTAGATGCCGCAGCATTCAGCCTTCTAGGCCACAGAAGAGGGCAAAGACAAGGAGGGAATGGATCTGGAGGCAAACAAAATAACCATCACACCCTCTGTTGCCCACCTGTGGCGTCTTTCTGAGCTACTTTCACCCTGCACTGCACACCAGGTTTCACAGTAAAAGAATACTTTTCCATATACTCAATTCCCTAAGCCGTGCCACTCCTGTGTCTTATCCCATCCTCTTACTCACTTGAGCATCAACCTTGATGTCAGTTTATCACACACCCTTGTCTTTTCCCTTCAATCAAATGAGCATTCTAATCTCTCTCGGATTTTGACATCAATTTTCCCTCCTGGCTGCAGTATTTTTCTCTCCACCACGACTTTGCACATTCACAAACAACACTTATGGAAACACCTTTTCCAGTTTGATTCTTCCCTTAACACCTAGATTTGCCAATCCTTGCAGCCCAAGCAGAGTCTGGCCTAGCTCATGATGGCCTTAAAGGTAGAACCTAACCACATGGACTCAAAATCTGAGACACAACCCAGGAATAACAAATAGAAGAGTTTATGGCTATATAGCACTTCTGCTTCCTGACCAGCATGCTAGCCATGAGAAAAACTTCCACCAAACAGAGAATGCCAGCCCAGAAAGTCACTGCAAACATTAAAGGTGGGATTACTGGCTCTGCAGGTGCCCACTTAGTCCTAGCAGTTGTCCTCCCCTGAAAGCAATGGTCAGGCCATAATATCTATGACTGCACCTTTGGCAGAGCTGTGAGGATTCTAGTTGTAAGGTTAGTCAAGTTTGTGGTCTAGTAATTTTCAGATGAAACAAGATTGATCACCTATTTGGTTTCTTCCCTAACAAAGCGCAGGAATGGTCCACAGGACAGACTTGAAGCCTGGGCCTACAGAGAAGTGCTTTACTGGAGCCAGGGTGATTGGAGAAATGTTGTAATTAGGGGGATTATGGGAAATAATTCCTTCATCTCAATGCCATCATCTCAGGGAAGCCTATAGGGCTGTTTTGTACAGATTGTTTCTACTTGGAGACTAGGCAGACATATAGACAGAGTCACCATAACAGCCAAAATGACTATTTTAGGGAAGGGAGGCCATTAAACAAACAAACATGACTTGAGAATGGCAAACAAACACAACTTGAGAATGGCAAAGAAAATCCTCTTACTATACGGGTGATATCATCCACAGTCAGGACCAGCTACGGAACTTGATGAACCCAGGGTAAAATGAAAATGCAAGACCACTTGTGAAAAAATTATTAAGAATTTCAAAATTGCAACAAAAGATCATTAAACCAAACACAGCGAAATTGCAAACACAGGGGCCTCTGTGACTACACAGCCCACGTTCCATGAAGCTAGCCTTGACCACCGCAGTACATGCTACAGGGAACTTCCATGAACCTGGGAAACCACACCCTGCTTCCCAGGCTTCCTCCTGCTTTATGTGTGTATCTCCACATATTTTCTATCCTTGGTCATTAAAATAGTCTAGAACTACTAGTGCTTTTGCATGTCATTTTCCTTTCTCACTGTTTACCAATACACACTGGGAATAGGAAGATGGGCAATCCTGTTCATAGTGTCAGGGAACTGCTAGGACCAAACTCAGAAGAAAGGAAGGGCACGCAACTTTGCAGAACTTGGCAACACACTGCATTAAGCAAAGGAGAAGCTCTTTTAGGCACCATTCCATGCATCCTTTGCCTTAGAGCAAGCTGAAGAATTTTGCCCAAGTTTACTGAGCCCTCTAAAAGCAGGGGCCATAGCCACCATGGTGACAGTCTCACTCCAACCCCACCCCAACTCAACTGTCTCATCAGTGCACTCTGTGGGACAACAAGCTCTCCAGCAGCTTGTAGCTCCTCACTGTATTGCTAGGATTCTAGCCCAGTCCACCCCTAGGTTTGGGAAAAAGCCCAAGCAACTAGTGGTTGTTTTCTCAGAAATTAATTTAGGACAAGGGTTATCAGAGAAAGCTAGAACACAAGTTTATCATATATTACTGCAATAAGGATGACCATATAAATGTATCATCCACAACAGGAACACTTCTGGTAGTGGCAGGAGAAACTGTTGATTATGCCAGGAAAATAGGGATAATCCAGAACTGTGGAGACATATGGTCACCTAACCTGCAATTGCCTATTTTCTACTACTGTGTACTCACACAACAGTCACTGATCCTTCGCTCAGATTTATAAAGTTAGTTTTTCTATACAAATGATTTGCTTATGTAGTTTACACAATCTGCACTGTAAAGCATTACCCTACCTGTGCTTGACTGTCTCTCTAACTACTGAAGTCATTTTAAGTTATAAGTTTAGCCAAAATTCTAATTATTAACTCTTTTCTTCTTCCGCAATAGTGGGCCTAACTAGAAATATAATTCAAACAGTTATATATATATATATATATTTTTTTTTTTTTTTTTTTAGTTGGAGTCTCACTCTGTCGCCCAGACTGGAGTGCAGTGGCCGGAGTGGCCACTGCAGCCTCGACCTGCTGGGCTCTGGGGATCCTTCCGCCTCAGCCTTCCGAGTAGCCGGAATTACAGGCGCGTGCTACCAAACCCGGCTGATTTTTTTTTGATTTATTGTAGAGATGAGGTCTCGCCTGCCCAGGTGGGTCTCGAACCCGCAGGCTCAGACAATCCATTCACCTCAGCCTCCCAAAGGCGTGGGATTACAGGCTAAGCCACCGAGCCCCGGCAAACAGCTATAATTATATAAAATAAAGCTTCCTTTCTATCAGTAAAACTCCTTACTTAATGTTTTTTTAATGTTATATTGTTCATAACAATGACTCCGGTTTATTCAATCACATCTCAAAGAACAATTTCAAAGTAATGATAAGACTTAAACTTACAGATGGTGAATCCAAAATTAATTCTTCAACAGTGACTATGTCCAAGCCAAGAGTTTGTGCTATAATTTCAAATACGTATTTGTATGACGGGTCAATTTTCATTTTTCGGCTTTCCCTTGCATCTCTAAATCTTGCCTAAAGAATGAAACCCACATGTAAAAATGGGGATTATGAAGAAAAAACACCAAAACATTTCATTTTAAATAAAAGTGGTACACGTGAAACATTTTATTCCAAGCAAACCTGTCTCTCTTTTAACGTCTCCTGTAGATTTGGAATACCACTCATACTTCGGCGAAATTTGGACGCCCGGCGGGAAGACTGAGAAGAAAACACTTCAGAAATCACCGATGGAATCGGCCGCGGTGCAAGTCTACTTCGAGCTCTATTCAGATCCGGCTCATCGTCGTCTGGAAGAATTATCCCTTCCTCAGAAGGAATGAGATTCCGATAATCAACCACGGAAGCAGGAGCATCTTCTGCGGAAAGAGGGAAAGCTTCCTCCCCCTGAGCCTCCACTTCTAAAAGGGGCGGGGCCCCTTCTCCAGGAGGGGGCGGGGACTCTTCTCCCGGAGGGGGCGGGGACTCTTCTGAGAGGGCGTGGGCTGCCTCTTCCGTAGAGGGAGGAGCCTCTTCTCCCGCAGTAGGTGGGCCGCCTTCTTCCGCGGCCGTGTCTTCATCCATCCTTTGCTCTTGCGGAATACCTTCAACTTCAAAACCTGGAATTGTAAAATGTTTCCATTTAAAACTGTACAATAAATTGAATGTGGTGTGTTTTTATTCCTCTCCTTGAAGCTACGCAAGTAGCAAAATCACCTAGTTCTCTCTTACCATATTATCTGAAGAACTAAGTTTATAGGACTATAAAGGTGATTTTTTTTTTTTTTTGAGATGGAGCCTCACGTCGCCTAGACTGGAGTGCAGTGGCAAGCTCCCGGCCACCGCAGCCTCGACCTGCTGGGCTCCGGCGATCCTTCCACCTCAGCCTTCCAAGTAGCTGGAACTACAGGCTCGCGCAACCACGCCCGGCTAATTTTTTTGATTTATTGTAGAGATGAGGTCTCCCCAAGTTGCCCAGGCGGGTCTCGAACCCTCGGGCTCAAGCAATTCTGAAGGGAGCTAGCGTGCGCGCCCGCAGGTACACACACACACACACACACACACACACACACACACACACTCCTAGGGACTTTTTCAAGCTATAAGTGCGCCTTGAATATGGTATGGCCCTAGGAGATTGTCCCTCCACACACATCCCATCCCTGCTATATTAACCACTGTAACTGGTGGGAGGTTCCCTGTCTTCAGGCGTCTTGGGGCTGAAAAAAAGATTGAGAGCCATTGTATTAGAGAACTTACTGGAGATCATTGCCAAGACACTGACCTTGCAAGGGAACAAGTAAAGAACTATACAAATTTAAAATGTGCCTTGCTTCAAGAAACTCTGTCACTCAGTACAATTCATCAGTAAGACTTTCAGCTGTCCAGCCATCTCATCTATATGAGCATAACCAAAAACACACAAATGCATCCTCTTAGCAGTCAAAATAGATACTCCAAGTCCAAACACAAAATTCATGCTGAAATGTGATTGTGATTATTTGTTGCAGCAATGGTACCATTTAAACCATAAATCCAAAGTACCTAATCAGAAAAACTCTAATTACAAAGAAAGACGGAAGTTATCATGAACATGTCACTGTGGAAATTAGGGGACAGGAGGAACAGGAGGAAATGTCTGTTACAGACAAAAATCAATGTAGGACGACAAATGAATCTCCATCAAAGTAAAAAAGTTTTCAGGATATGGTTAAAATCTAGAAACCAGGACAGTAGCAAAAACTTGGAGGACAAAAGGATAAATTCCCAAGCAGGTAAGAAGACAGAGAAAGAGTATTTCTTGTGAGAATTCTGAGGAGGAACTGGATGCAGACCTGGCCCAAGTAAAATGGGGCTTCTTTTTTTAAAATTATTTTTAAGCAGGATTTATTGAGAGGACATTAAACCTCCTATAGTGGGAGGGAACCCAAGGAGGTTGCTCAAAATGGGGCTTCTTATGGGGACACCACTAGACACAACACAGAGACAACTTGTCACCTATGCCCCACAACTGTCTTCTCTGCATCTTCCAGAAAATTAATAAACAGCTGAAATAGTCTTCTTTTATACACTTAGTTGGCCCACTCAAGGACAAAAATGCTCAAACTGATTCATCTTTTATCCTGCCCTTAAAAGGTATACACATGAACCACTGTTCCCAAACTGACTGCAGTTTTTTTTTAATCTTCCCTCTTTCCCTCTCTTTTATAAATCCTGGTTTTTGCCTTTGTTCCTGGACCCCAGTCTAATATCTATCTTCCTCACACATGTTTATATCTGCTTGGAAAATAACAAATTAAGCGTGCCTGAGTTATCACACGACACATAGACGATATGCAACACCAGGAGCTGCATATGCATTACATTCTCAACCCTTGAAATTGGCCTAGTGGAGTTGGTCATACTCTCAATTACTTAGGAACAGCTATGACAATACCTATTAGTGACGCCATATCAACAACCTGTAACTCTGTCCAAACTTATGCTTTTGAATCCTACAAAACAATTCATTTTACTCAGTAAGAGAATCTTTGTATCTTTTCTCAGAGGATACTGATAGGCATAATTTTCTGGTATCTGTAACCAAAGCAAAATTTAATTTAATGTCAATATAGTGGAAAACAAATGCTCAGGAGGATTATTGAGCTTCCCTGTGGGCAATCAGTGTTCCTTATAGGGCCAACAACTATTTAAGCCACTATAAAGTCATTGTTATTTAGGCCATTAAGGAAAGGCTAAAATTGAATCAAATTGTTGGGAAGCCGGACTCGATGGCTCAGCCTGTAATCCCGCGCCTTGGGAGGCTGAGGTGAGTGGATTGCCTGAGCCTGCGGGTTCGAGACACCTGGGCAACTTGGCGAGACCTCATCTCTACAATAAATCAAAAAATTAGCCGGGTGTGGTAGCACGCTGGCAGTCCCAGCTACTTGGAAGGCTGAGGCGGAAGGCTTGCTGGAGCCCAGCAGGTCGAGGCTGCAGTGGCTGGGAGTGGCCACTGCACCCCAGTCTGGGCAACAGAGTGAGACTCCACCTCAAAAAAAAAAAAAAAAGAAACCAGGGAGCCAGGAGCAGTGTCTTGTATCTGTAATCCCAGTTATTCCGGAGGGTGAGACAAGAAGATTGCTTGAAACTAGGAGTTCAAGACCAGCCTGGGCAAAACAGTGAAACCCTCATCTCTAAAAATCAAATAAAATAGATTAGTCAGCCATGGTGTCTGGCTCCTGTAGTCCCAGCTACTTGGGAAGCTTAGGCAGGAGGATCCTTGAACCTAGGAGTTCAAGGCTGCAGTGAGCTATGATTACACCAGTGTGCTCCAGCCTGGGCAGCAAAGCAAGACTTCATCTCTAAAAACATTTTTTTAAAAGCTTTTTAAATAAAAGAAAAAAAAATCAGGGACATATACAGTAATTTTTTTTTCTAGAAAGCTGGATTCATTGAGAGGACAGAAAAGCTCCCACAGTGGGATGGGACCTGAGGGGGTTGCCCTAAAATGAATCTTAATGAGTTTTCCATCTAAAAATGGCTGCAATTTTTAAAGTGGAAGTACAGAGTAAATTTTCAGAAAATGTTATCATCCAACACAATTCATTCCCTGAGGAGTCCAGATATTTAAGATTCATGGACACATAATTTCAGAACTAGTGGGGAAAACTTTCTAAATTATCTAGTTCAACTCTCCCATTTTACTGATAATGAGAAGTTACATGTTTTTCCCAATTACATAGACAGTAATGATCTATCTAAACTTCAAATCAGATCATTTTGCTTCCCTAATTAAGATCCTCCTCTGGACACCGAATATAAACTCTTGTGTCCCCCAGGCCTTTCCTGGCTTGGTCCCAATCTCTCTCTTTCTCTCTGGTTTCTTCCAGTGCTGCCTGCAGCCAGTTCCCGACACAAGCACTTTTCTTTCACCTATAGGCATTGGCAAAGAGCTCACCACCTAATGATGGAAGTAGACATACCAGCAAACACTTACAGATTTATTAAAATCATCCAAAGTATGAACAAGAATTTGTAGTATCAGAGAAGAAAGTGTAGGAGGAAAATCACTAAGGAATAGCTTTCACTTAAGTCTTGATAGGAAACATATGCGTTCCCTGAAGAAGATTGGAGAAGTAATATTGTCAACAAATAAAAGGTGGGTTCCGTGCTTGGAGAGATATAAAACTTTGCTGATGAATTTAGTATATATATGTTTATATATATTCATATTTTCATATTATATTTGTATATCATATATCATATCTATCAATAAAATTTCTTACTTAATATGTATCATATACTTATGATACACAACTATAAATAAATTTAGTATTCTATATTTAATACCCAACATTTACATTAGAGATATGTGTGTATATATACATATCATTTAAAGTTTAAAATAATCAAATGCATGTATAACTTCTTTACAATAAAAGCAATCAAGCAAATGTCATGTGGAAAGCAAAAACAAAGAAACAGGAATTTTTGTGCCATTTTAGAAATAATAAGACTTTTTTCTGTATGAATAAAAAAGAATATTGAGAAACATGTTAGAGACTGGTGCCAGAGAATGGAAAATTCTAGAGATTGGTCTTTATTTTGTTGGCAGTGGAGAATCCAGTGAAGATTTTTTTAAAATATATTTTATTTTAAAGATGTGGGATACAGTTCAGGATTAGGTATACAAATGGACACCATACAGGTAAAGTTTGGGCCTCCTTTTTGTCCCCACTTTGCCTGGTTTAAGATCAGGTACCCTAGTTGATGTTTTGCTCCAACCCCACCCGGCAGTATCCTGTTACTGCCAATCCCTTTCTTATAGTATTATGGTAAATGTTCAAGGTCTGCTTATGAGTGATCCAGTGAAGATTTTATGCAAAGGAGCAACAGAATCAGAACGTATATGAAGAGGGTAAATTGGCAGATTGGAGCAGAGGGATGCTGAAGGCAAGGAAACCATGAAAGAGACTACTGATGAAATCTGAGTTCAAAGTAATAAGGGCCTGAAGTAAGATAGTGACAGGGGAATAAGAAGTGGGATAGATGTGGGGAAAGGGAGAAAGTATTGTGAAAACAGAGTGGACAAGATCTTCTGGGTTTTTTGTTTTTGTTTTGTGTATGTGTGTGTTTTGTTTTTTGAGTTTGGGAGGGTTGTTTGTCTTTTTTAGCTATTGAGGTGAGTGCATTATATTTTCTAGTTATTGATCCATTGCCAGATAGATAGTGTGCAAATATTTTCTCCTATTCTGGGTTCTTTTTTTTCCACTTTGTTGATTGTTTCCTTTGTACTGCAGAAGTTTTTAAGCCTGATATAATCCCATTTGTCTATTTTTGCTTTGGTTGTCTGTGCTTTTGAGGTCTTACACAACATATCTTTGCCCAGACCAATGTCCTGGAGTGTTTCCTCAAAGTTTCCTCCAGTAGTTTCAAAGTTTCAAGCCCTAGATTTAAGTCTTTAGTCCGTTTTGATTTGATTTTTATGTATAGTGAAAGATAGGGGTCTAGTTTCGTTCTGCATAGGGTTATCCAGTTTTCTCAGCACCATTTATTCAAGAGGCCATCCTTTTCCCATTGTATGTTCTTGGCACCGTTGTCAA